TCGAGAGCGTCAACAAAGGCCCTACTCACGCACCCTCTGCCAACCTGTGGAGCCAGGTAAGCGTTGTACCGCACACTCAGACCCCTCTTCGGTCCACTCACAAGCCGCCCGAGTTGGGTCCCTGCGTTCCACCTCGCTGCCCCACTGCGGGTACGGAGGTGGTTCCGCTGGTCCCACTTGCACGGTGTCTGGGTGCCTGGCTAGCGCTACACAACCCATCTTGTTGGCTTATGCAGACCATCAGCCTCGGCTATGCGATTCAGTTCGCCCGGCATCCCCCCAAGTTCAGTGGCATCTGCTTCACGACAGTGAAGGCGGCCGATGCTCCTGTCTTGCGTGCGGAGATCGCAGTCCTACTGGCGAAGGATGCGATAGAGCCAGTCCCTCCAGCCAATATGAATACAGGCATCCATCCCCGAGATTGGTTTGCAGCGATCGACCTGAAGGATGAGTACTTTCATGTGTCGATCCTTCCGCGCCCCAGACCATTTCTGCGGTTCGCGTTCGAAGGGTGAGCATATCAATACGAGGTCCTGCCCTCCGGGCTGTCCATGTCGCCCCGTGTCTTCACGTAAGTTGCGGAGGCAGTCCTTGTTCCCCTGAGAGAACAGGGCGTTCGCATTCCCAACTACCTCAACGACTGGCTCATACTAGCTCAGTCTCCGCATCAGCGAAACAATTTCAGAGGCTCCTGGGGCATATGGCAGCTGCAGCGGCACGTACACAGCTAGGGCTATTGCATATGAGACCGCTTCAGCACTGGCTTCATGGCCGAGTCCCGAGGTGGGCGTGGCAGCGCGGCACTCACCGGGTCCAAGTTACACCGGCCTGTCGCCAAACCTTCACCCTGTGGTTAGACCTTACGTTCCTCCGGGCAGGAGTGCCCCTAGAACAGGTCTTTAGGCATGCCGTGGTTTACACGGATGCCTCCACCACCGGCTGGGGGCCCACGTACAACGGGCACGCAGTGTCGGGGGTATGGACGGGCCCCCAAATGCACTGGCATATTAGTTGCCTGGAGTTATTAGCAGTGCGCCTTGCCTTTAACCATCTCAAAGGGTGATTACGAAGCAAGCACGTGCTGGTCCGAACGGACAACACGGCGACCAGTGCATATATCAACCAACAAGGTGGTCTGCGCTCCCGTCGCATGTCGCAACTCACCCGCCACCTCAAGACCCCCGGAGATGCCCGATTGCGGTCGTGCTTTCCTTTCTGCAGCAAGGGCTGGAGCAAAGGCTGTCTCCCTCCACCCTTAAAGTTTATGTAAAATGCGATTGCTGCTAAGCATGACCCCGTGGAAGGGAAGTCGGTAGGTAAGCATGGCCTGGTCATCAGGTTCCTTAGGGGGGCGAGAAGGTTGAATCCTCCCCGGCCCCCCTCCATACCCTCATGGGACCTGTCTCTACTGCTTAAAACACTACAGCAGGGCCTATTTGAGCCTTTGCAGTCAGTCGAGCTAAAGTTTCTTTCATTGAAAACCCTGCTCCTTCTTGCACTGGCCTCCATCAAGAGGGTAGGGGACCTGCACGCATTTTCGGTCGGCGATTCGTGCCTAGAGTTTGGGCCGGCTGACTCCCAGGTAATCCTGAGGCCCCGGCCCGGCTATGTGCCCAAGGTTCCCACTACTCCCTTCAGGGATCACATGGTGAGCTTGCAAGTGCTGCCCCCGGAGGAGGCAGACCCAGCCCTAGCTTTGCTCTGTCCTGTTCGAGCCTTCAGAGGCTACGTAGACCAGACACAAAGCTTTACGACTTCAGACCAGCTCTTTGTCTGTTATGGAGGCCGGCAGAAGGGGAA